GGAACATCCCAGTGACTTGTCTACTTGATTTAATCAAAATGCAATCTATGGATTGTGGAGATGGCTATATTGACAGTTTATCGCCTACCAGCTGTCTCTTTGATTACAGTGAAACATATGGTTGGGTAGACAGCGTGCCAAAAGTCTGCATGATGGTTTCCTAATATTAAGAGTCTACAAAGCCCATCTTCCCTTTGTTTGGTTTCCTTTGAAATCACTGAAAGAAGCACGAAATGACAATCTTAATATAACTGAGGATAAACACCAGGTGACATAAAGTGCCACCATGCGGATGAGGATCACCCGTGGAAAGGTCCCAGAAACCTCTTTCAGCCGTAAGGCCATATCTATGGCTAGGCCATATTTATGCCCCCGGCTTTATTCAGGGTCCCCGGCAGAAGCCAGAATGGGGCTATGAATAACGAAAAATTAAATCCTACATGGGGATGACGGATACAATTAATATAACTGTCATGTAGTTGACAAACAGATCGACAACGCCCTAACTGGGCACCAGGTAAAGTCATAGAAAGTAAAGGTGACTGGTGTGATGTTGAACACATCGCCCACTGATTGCCGATTCCTCTATAAAATTTGGCTCAATCAATATATGCCAAATACATCTTCAGATGTGGATAAGGATCCTTTACTATGGGGGGGGGGGGGGGGGATCCCAAGTAACTATGAAGCCTAAGAGAGATTTTTAATTGTAAAGATTTATGGAAAATGAGTCAGTGGAAGACGTGGATGAAAGAGATGTGACAGGTTTCCATCAATGCAGGACACAGATGGAAGAGTGAAAAGACCTGGTTTATTTATCAGCATCATTGATCAAACCCAACATTACTGAATCACATTGACAAAACATCCCATATGGAGGAAAATCTATCTTAGTTATCCATGCTACCACAATACCTTTATTTCTGCTCGCCACAACAAATGACACAGATTTTTTTTTAAAACTTTTATTTACGCTGACATGCCAATGACAGCAAGAACCTCTCCTTGCTGTAGCCAGAAGACAGAGCAGTGACAGTACAGGAAAGGGGCAATGCTTGCACAATCATGCAGGGGGAGATAACTTCCAATGCCATCATGTATCATCTGGCAGCGGGAAACAAACAAATTAATTCTGACTTTCAAAGAGTCATAAACTTCTTCTTTTGTTTCGCCGACTGTAAACCCCAGCAAACGTTCTTGGTGTTAGTCCACTTCTAGACTTTAGTCCTGTTTCAGAACCTGAGTGTTGCATGTACATCTGCTTTACAGATCTGACTCATCTGTATGCAGGCTGTTGGTTCCTTGCTTCTCAGGAAAGTGCACTATGACTTAAAAAAAAGCTCTAAATTAGTCAACTCTTACGACACGCATTTGAGTAGGCAATGGGTCTATCCTTGTTTTCCCTACAATATGTCTAAGAAAAGCAGCCAACTAACCATCCGTGATCGAGTAAATAATGATACTATCAGGCACATTGGGGGAACGACACCTTGTACTAGATTCACAGAGAAACAGCAGATCAAGTGGTTTGCCATCTCTTTAGAATACAACAACGTCAAACACCATCACAAGCACTACAACTCAGAAGATCGGTTACAAGAGCAAGAGGACATCCATGAAAAACGTGGACAGACAACATTAAAGACACTTTACACATTCACATCATGACAATAGCTAGTGCTAGCAGTGCGCACTGGATCACAAATTGTTCATTCCCACGCCACTTAACAGCAGAAGTGACTTGATGATGATGAGAAACTGGCCCAGAAAGCCTCTCTTATATTCAGCCCTTCCAAACACTATCTTTCACACAACAATTGAATTATATCTAAATTGTAAAATGCCTGTAAGAAAAACTTCGGATATTCTTTCAGTGTCTTGAGGTTAAACCCAAAACAACAAATATAATTAGATAAATTTGTGTGACCTCTCATGGCTAAAAATAAACATTAATATTGTACAACAAAAGATTTATTTTAAACTTTCACAAAATAAAACAGACAATAAACAAATTCTTAGCAAGTTCAACAAACATATTGAAAAATCATAAAAGATTATTACAAATTAACAGAATTAAAAGAATTTCATAGAAACTTATCTGACTAGAAAAAATGCCATTTGTAAAGCAAGAATGTAGACCGTGGACTCTTTCTGACCAAATCGCTTAAGGCAATAAACATAAATAACATATCAATAAAATATCACAGTGAGACAGTATGACAAGATTCTGGCGAGTACATAAACAAAGTCATCATGTAGGAGCTCCTTTACAAAACCTTGCTCCAATCAGTGGACCCCATCACCAGCTCTCCTGCCTCGTGCTTCAGACCCAAAAAGTCTTTTGTATCCTGTTCCCATCTTTGTGCTGGTCAGTCCCTGGCCCTCTTATCTGGTACCATGCTCTCCATAAATGTTCTGTCCAATCAAACGTGACATTTGACGGGCCTGAGTTTTGCATATGCATCCATTTTACTGGCTCATTTGTTTGCAGTTGGCTGTTCCTTGTTGCTTGGCAGATGCACTCTGATATTGAAGGAAGTCTATAAATAGTCGACTCCAATGACATGCTTGTTGACAAGACAGTGGGTCTATTCTTTTTTCTCCCCACAATAGGGCCCTGGAACCCACAATGAGAGAAAAGAAACCAAAGGTCCATTTTCATGCCATTGTTGCATTAGAAGGGTTGTTAGGCCTAAATTCTTTTATAAATCAATCAAAACTTAATGATCTGGTCATCTGGTAGCGGGTTCTGGTCCTCTGGTAGCGGGTTCCAGAAAACTGAGCATCCAATGATTACAGGCCTAATGTTTATCACACAGTACCAGTAAATGATTTCATAGAACATCAAAGAATCAAATGGTTTTGTCATCTGGTCAGAAGAGAACAAAATCAGCCTGCAGCTAGAGCGCACTATATGAGAACAACAGGCTACAAGGCAAGTGGTCGACCAAGGAAGAAATGGTGGAGGGAGTAAAAGACACACTACAGAAACACAATATTAACACAAGCTAGGCAACTGGCACCAGACAGGAAACTACACCTAACTCCTCTCTGTGACGCTCTACGGCGTAAGCAGTAGGACAAAAGCAGAACACTTCATGGAAGATGTGGTGAATTTCAAACCAGTTACCTTTACTTATTCAGCCTTTTTGGAGTTTGTTATTAAGTACAACCCTTCCTTAACTGGATTCCTTAAGTACAACCCTTCCTCAACTGGATTCATTAAGTACAGACCTTCCTCAACTGGATTCCAATCAGGCACTTTACCTTAGCCATCCTACCCCAAATGGCAAGATGGAGGCTTTTTATATCATTTAAACACTATCTGCGTAAGGTGTTGCAAACAATGGTCAACATCCTTGTGAATGTTCGACTTACCCACTGTACCATCCAACATACAACATATCTGGATGAATGAATCAATACGACAAGAGGATGTTCAAAAAATATCTTTCATAATCTATTCTATATTTTCATAATTTTTTTTTTCTTTCTGGTTACAAGCAAGAGTACTAGTATTTTTTTTTGTCAAGCATGATTTTTCTCAGCGCTACTGCAAGTTACAAGTGAGTATTGGAACCTCTATTTTAGATACTTTGCTGTGAGTAATGGCACCTCTTTGTCTAGGAAAAAAACTTTAATTCTTTTAATCCCATGGAACGCATCAAAGATGCATAGGTTCTCACCTAGAAGCTCGGTTAACTCATGATGTCCCACTTCTATGACTCTCCTTTCCACCCCTTGGGCCTGTGATGCTAAACCCACTGGGGCTCAAAGAGTTAATCAGTAGTCACCTCTTACCCAAACAATTTTGCCACTTTGGTGAAATTACAGCTGAATCTTTACAATGTCTAATTGTTATGGGAATTTGACCAAAAAAAGCAAATTGTATATCAGACAGTCTTTTATGTACTCTATCTGATAACACTGGATTAGGGAATCAGATTAAGTACGAGAACTGTGAACATAACTAAACCAGGTTACCAAGTCAGATAAGAGAAGTGTGAATATCATCACACTAGATAACTAGATTAGAGACATGTGAAAATCACTAAATCAGATAGGCAGGTGTATTACTTCCCTTTACTTCCCAGGACTTTACCTGGTATCCATTTAAGTCTGGATCGACCTGAGAACCAAGGTTAGGACCTGAATCCACAACCTTCTGATCCACAGGCGCACCTCTAGCTTTTACATTATGGCATTTACCAGGTTGGGTAACAAATAATTCAGGTAAACATTCCTGCACCTGTGACTGGAGTAAACAGGAACCTTCTGAGATGGTAACAATCACCCAAACTTCTCAGTTTCAATGTCCAACAAATTCCTAGTGACTGGTGGGTCTTCAAACCAAAACTATACACTAATGCCTAGTGACTGGTGGGTCATCAAACCTTAACTATACCCTAATACCTAGTGACTGGTAGGTCATCAAACCTAAACTATACCCTAATGTCTAGTAACTGGTGGGTCTTTGAACCTAAACTAACATGGAATTTGCATTTTCTGTTCCTAGGAGACTAAATAATAGTCTGCACAGTCCTGTTTCAATGTGATTTTTAAAACAGTGATAAATGCAATGCAACAAACAGTTTTGGCCACTCATTCTCTGTGCTGGGTGTTTCGGCCAGTCTTCATTTGTCTTGCTTCTGAGAACATGTTTGATTTTTCTAAGCTCTTTGCTATCTTTGTTTGTCTCATCTGCCTTCTCTTTGCTTTCCTTGTTTGTCTCATCTGCCTTCTCTTTGCTTTCCTTGTTTGTCTCATCTGCCTTCTCTTTGCTTTCCTTGTTTGTCTCATCTGCCTTCTCTTTGCTTTCCTTGTTTGTCTCATCTGCCTTCTCTTTGCTTTCTTTGTTTGTCTTATCTGCCTTAGCAAGTCTATATGCTCCCCTATTTCCTCAAAAGTTGCAGGAACTAGAAGTGGAATCTCAATTACAGTAAAATGGAGCCAGTCAAGATCTGAACCTGTTTCTAATGTAGACAATGGTCTACTGGCTATTACAGTGACTCTGAATAATGTGACTGAGAAGGTGTTTCGATAAAGACACCTAATGTGGGATGGTGTGTTGAAATGATAACTTTTGGGCCCTTCTCAAGATCTGCTGATGGATGTACTGAAGGTCGGTCTGACAATATGCTGGCTGTGTCTACCTGTAAAATGACTCCTTGCAGTTTGGATGTCTTAGTATGGTTGGCTGAAGATCCTGGCAGAGATGTGCATTCCTCTAGTGGGCTTCCCATGCATGTAATGTTATACTGTGAAGATGCTGATCTGCCAGCTGTGGAAGAAATAGGCAGAGACTGGCTTCTGTTGATCCTGATGGAAGGATCTGCTGGAGAACTAACAGCAGTAATGTCTGTTGGAGGCGGTGGAATCTGATGGAGATGTGGTTGGGTCTGAGGGAGAGGTGGTTGGGTCTGAGGGAGAGGTGGTTGGGTCTGAGGGAGAGGTGGTTGGGTCTGAGGGAGAGGTGGTTGGGTCTGAGGAAGAGGTGGTTGGGTCTGAGGTAGAGGTGGTTGGGTCTGATGGAAAGGTTCTGAAGATGTTGCTGGAGTTGCTCTATCCTGTACAAGTGAGGGCAACAATGCATCTCTGATGATCCTGCCATGAATCGTGCCTGCTGTCAACTCTGAAGACAGCTGGGATGGAGTCTGTGAAGGAAGCTTAGAGAGATCTTGTATGGACAGTGACAGAAGTGAACAGTTGTGCGAGGCCACAGAAAGATCTTCTGAAGGACTAGAAAGCTTGGAGGGGTGACACAAGGACATAGGTAAGGACCTTGAGGGCACAGCAATATCCTTTGAGCTGAGAGATTTGTGTTCCTGGTTCTCGCGGGAAAAGCCGAGTTCTGGGTCCTGTTTCAATGACTGTGACATAGAAGAACTCATTTCTGGAGACTTGGAGATCGGCAGTTGTTGACAAACCACATTTTGACATCCATATGCCTTAGACAAGTTGCCTGTTGCCTGGCTGACACTACAACAGCCTTCACCTGCATCATTAGAAGCTGCACCTTCTGCCAATCCTTCAATTGGAAAATTACTCAGTTCCAAAACATCCGGGCAAGCACAGTTTCTTGATGCCAACTGGCAATTTAAGTTTGGTAGACATTTGTGTGGAAACCTGCACATGCATGGCACTCTGGGAAGGCCTGATGAGATGGCATTTAATTCAGCTGCATTCAGTTCACTGCCCTTGATGTCTCCATCTTTGAGACTGGCATCGTGTGTGCATACATTTATATCGTAAACTGGGTCACATGACAGTGTACTCACAGATCTGAAAGTACATATTTGTTTCATGAGTACTAAAAGAAGGCCAACAACATTTTTAACGTATATATATAAGTTATATATGTGCAGAGTGAATATCACCAGTTTTTGCTCTAAACCCTTCTTTCACACATGTTACTCTGTTCAATCGAAAAATTTTTACTGTAATCAATTTCATTCTAGTTGTTACTGTGACCCATTATGTCTCAGCTGTTATTTAAATCTACTCTAAACCAGATGCTACTCTAATCCACACCATCCCGGCTGTTAATTTATTCCACTCTATCACTTGCTCTAATCCACTCTCTACCAGCTTTTAATTTATTCCACTCTATCACTTGCTCTAATCCACTCTATACCAGCTGTTAATTTAATCCACTCTAACACTTACTCCTTTGATTTATTACTTTAATCTGCTCTATCTCAGTTGTTACTCTAATTCACTCTATCCAGCTATTAATTTAATCACTTGATCACTAGTTGCTATAATCCACTATATTCCAGTTGTTACCCTAATAAGCACTATCTCAGTTGTTACTTTTTTCCAATTTATGGTTTAGAGGTGAAGGCTGTTGTTGTATCGGCCAAGCAACCGGCATGTTATCTATAGTATATAGTATCTTGATAACAGTGCTTATCGAGAAGGGAGTCTGTCCTTGGTTGTTGAACTGGACAGCAGCTGTTTTGTATTTTGGTCAGGCAGCTCTCTACCTGGGTTCAGGGACCTCCGAACCATGTATTATAGCCCCGGAACTACCACAAGCATCTGCCATTTCACCTGTGCTTTTCAATGTTTTTATGATTAAGATTGCGGACGTGGAAACACATGAAGTTGATAGAATACTGAAATTCACAGATGATGTTCTTTCATATAGGCAAGGGAGAGACTGGAATCACATAGCTCAAGTTACAGGTGACAGTAGATATGGTGATCGACTGGTGTACAGAGATGAGTTCTGTAATCAACTCATAAAAGGCAACCGTCCTGTGGTTTTCTTTTGACAACAGGATTGTTAGAGCTGATGACAGAAGCCTAAATAAATGACATGGAAATCAAAAGAGACAACAGACTGCGGTACCTGGGAATCACCTTTGACAAAATTTCGTCTTTCAAGGGTCACATAGAGGGGGTTGTGATAAGGGCTCAAAAAGGTCTTAATGCACTAAAAATTATAGCAGCAATGGTCACGGAGCAGAGTGCTGTTCCAGCACTTAATCATCTCAGTGATTGGTTATGAACTGGGGCTGCTCACTGTCTCGAACAGCCAGCTAGTGAAACTGGAGTGCATACAGAATGAAGTTATGTGGGTGATCCTGGGATGTAAAAGAGACAGCCTGGTCGTGTGCATGCGATACATCTTTGCATTGCTGACTATTGCAGATAGGCTAAAGGTGCAGCAGGACAAGTCATACCTCAGAGTAGCTGCAAAGAGCACCCTCTGTATATATAAGCTTTGGGTACAATTAAGGGCTGGAGGCAGAAAAGGGGAAAATCATGGATGGTGCAAGCAGAATACACAATAAAACAAAACAAGTCTGCATGCTGAAAAACATTGGGCAAGGAGAGGAGTGGGTCAGAGCACCAGAGGAAAAGTGCCACCTGTGTAGGGTCATGATCACATTAGGCGGGGAGTGCAGAGAGTGGCTAGTGGGAGCTTCTGAGGTGGAATTTCAACAGCTGATTCCTGATAATTCTCATCCAGACAATCTGATTATCTATACAGATGGTTCTGTGTTTAGAGGAAAGAGAAGTGCCTGGGGTTTCGTAGTCAAAGCAAATAGAAAATCTTTAGTGCAGGACAGCCTAGTATATGATACAACAACATCTAGCATGATAATTGAGGTGGACCACATCACTGCAGCTCTCCAGTGGCTAGAGAAAAAGATGCATAAACATGTCATAATTGTAACAGACCCTGAAAGAATGCAAAGAGAGGGGAAGACAGGGATGCTACAAGCAGAGTGGTAAGCTTCTCTTGAAAGGTCACTCTATCACAGCTGTTATATTAATCTACTCTATCCCAGCTGCTAATTTAATGCACTCTGTCCCAGCTCTTACTCTAACCCAATCTATCCCAGTTATATTATCTACTCTATCCCTGTTGTTACTTTATTTCACTCTGCCCCAGTTGTTACATTAACCAACTCTATATCTCAGTTACATTAACCAACTCTATATCTCAGTTACATTAACCAACTCTATCCCAGTTACATTAATCCACTCTGTCGTAGTTGTTAATTCAATCCACTCTGCCCCAGTTGCTGCTTCAGTCCATTCACTCTCTTGTTACTTTAACCCACTCTACCTATGCTGTTACTCTAATTTACTTTAACCCACTCTATCGCAGAAGGTTAGTTATGTCACCTACTCTATCTCAGAAGGTTAGTTATGTAAACCAATCTATCCCAGAAGGTAAGTTATGTCACCCAATCTATCCCAGTAACTAACCTAAAACAGGCAGATACATTAACATATCAACTAAACGAAAGAGATATAAAATAAATCTCACCTCGTTGACTGACTGATGTCTCCTCTGGTCTTGGAATTGGTAAAAGTCTGGCCAGAATCTATGGAATCTGTGTCCACCTCACTGTAAATACCATGGGAGGACAGGCTGCCTTCAACAGTCATGCCTGGCCAGGTGGGATTAGAAAATGTATTCCTTCTTAGCAATAATGCTAGTGCTAATGGACTTTGAAGTCTAACAAGATACGAAACTAGGATAGGGAGCTGCTATTCCCAACCATTCATGTCTCGAGGTGGGTGTTTGTGGTTAGAGACATCTATTTTCATCTCAGCTGCTTCCTACCCCTTAAACCAGGTATCAATTTTATGCCCAGGTGTATGATATCCAGATCTTTGAAAGTCACATTCTTTTTCTTTTGGGTATGCCCATAAAAAGGCTGTTGGCATGTTGTTTGTGGTTTACAGCTAAGCTGCGATATATATATATATATATATATATATATATATATATATATATATATATATATATATATATATATATATATATATATATATATATATCTTTTTTTTAGCCCAATTCATCCAATTCCAGCTGCCCAAAAAAACTACAATTACTGCCTGTATTGTCTAGTTCTTCTAGGCAGGTGGGGGAAAGGGAGGGGCCTTTGCCCCTGAGGATATATGGACACATAGCTAATGCTGTCACCAACCTCAACCGGAAAAAAAATCCCTAACCTTACCAAAGTTTGGAACTCAGGTCTCTCATTTGACAGCCCTGCATTCTTAAACAATGAGTCCTATATCAGCAAATTCCTAATTAGGTCACGTTTTGAGACATGCTTATTGGGAGCAGTAGATCTATTCCCTGTTATTCAAAATAGGGTACAGGAATCCACATCATTCTAGCAATGCTTACCTTTACTGCAGGTTGGTGATGGTGCTGGAGCTTCGGCCCCGACCCCAGCCTCTCTGACCCCGAGCTGTAGCTTCAGTCTCTGCTCCAGCCGGTGCTGATGAATGCTGTCACTGATGGCCTCCAGGTTGTGCAAGGTCTGAGAGTACAGGGACTTGGCCGAACCCACCTCGTTCTCCAGCCGGCTGACACAACGTTTGTGATTCTAAGGGATGAACAGGAAATGTCTGATGCAAAAAGTATTCTCATTATAAGTCAGGCTTGCTTGGGAAGGGGGGGGGGGGGGGGGGGGAGGAGAGGTGCAATAATATGCAGTACCTGCACTTTTTTTTCCACTATTCTTCAGAAACTTTGTGGTAAGTACCAGCACCTTTTGTTCTAGAGCAAAGTTCTGATTACAAATAATTCATAGCATGGTATCTTCATCTTTGAAGATACTTCTTTTTTTCTTCATTCACTTTTACAAAAGTGGCTGACACACTGTGTTGCGGTTTACAGCTAAGTTGCAACATCTGTACCTTTCGATCAAACATGTGTGATTTCAGCATAATAAACTGCAGTGGGTCTATGCCACTCCCATCCAGCCCCCAATGGGACCTCAGAACCCGTACTCACTGGTCTGCCTAACATTAAATGGATCCCCAGGAAATGTCCAGAGAAATAAAAACAGTTAGTGTATTGATGACCACATGGCTAACAAGTGGTCTATAAAAATCTGAGCACCATGAGCCAAACGTATCAATGCAGTTATAACCATCTTTTACAACTTTAATTTTCAGTCTTTTACAACTTTTAAGAAATTGTTTTTCTCCCATCAAGTCTGCCAGTTGTCACTAAGTTTACAAATCTATTTCTCCTAAACAATTTCCCCAAAAATCTACAGGTTGTCCCATTAGTGTCCATAGATATGAAAAATAACCATAACACCAATCCCCATCCAAACATAACTGCAGCTGTGCTTATATGTGTTCTTATTTTCAAAACAATGGTATTTTTCCTATCTATGGAAACTTGTGGGACATCCTGCAGAATGTTTATGTCTAGTTTTAACTGTTTCTTGAAAGACGTTCCACATTCTAACATCAAATATTTCATCTCTTAACATGGTTATGAAGCCGGCTGATCACTCTTTTCCAAGGTTATTTGTCTTGCACTTTTTTCTTCATCACTTCGGAGATTTCAGGTTTTACTCTTTGCTCTACTGGCTGCCTCAACCATAGACATATCGTGCTGCTGTAGAGTTTTATACAGTTTATCATTCCATAGAATTCTTGGTCTACCTCACATTCTCCTCTTTTGGCGTATGCCTTGTATGGTACAGCATCTTAAGACATTCTCTCAGATTACTGGAATTTTAATTTAAATGACAACAAATTTCCCAGACAAGACACATCTATTTACCTCCAAAAGTTGGTGAAACTTCTCTTTCATGTCAAAGTATGGCCTGTGGAAACAAAAACTTATGTGACTACTGTAAAGGCAGTGAATAATGACTATAGTAGAAGTAAAAGTAAGGGAACTGACTACACAAGTAAAAGTAATAACACTCTAATACATGAATGACAGTATGGCATGAGACTATAAGTCAATATTGTAGTTAGCAAGACTGGAGAGTAGACTGTGAAGTTGGTTGAAAGGGGGGGGGTTAGCATTACAGTAGGTTGACAAGTAGTGAGGTACACAGGTAGGTTAAATGACTTTCTTCTACATCTTTAGGTGTAAATGAGCATACAGGGCTAGACCGATGTTTTACAGACCAATCGTCACAAATGGCGTGCAGTTTATTCTTCCCTGAGACGGTCACATGTAGTTATCTATTGTTTTGGGTCCGTGCTAAAGACACAGAAAGAATGTCCAAACATTTCTCCCTGGAATTTTGCTTTATAGATCAAAGACAATTGTTGTGTGAAAGTTGAGACTGGAAGGGCTGAATGAAAGACCGGCCTGTGTGCCCAGTTTGTGACCCTTTAAAAATTAAGTTTATTTTCATCTGTTCATACCCCCTTTGATGTAGGATATCTTTTAGACACCATATTAGACTCAATCCATTTGTTTCCCATTTATATGCCTGTCTGGTGATTCTCTGTTCAATTCTCAACAGGATGTGCCCCCAATAGGCCATCTTCTTTGTCTTTTAATGGTTAATGCTAGTGGTTGTCCAGATAGTTTTATTATTTCTTTCACTTGCCTGACATTATTACGCTCAATGTTCATCAATTGCCTTAATTAGAGTAAAGGACCCTTTTCCAGGCTTTCATGTGTATAGGGCATATAGGGCTAGACCTAAATTTTGTAGACTAATCGGCACTTGGAGTGTGATGTCAACATTATGTCAGCCAATTTTGCTTCCCTGGATTATACCTGGCACCCACTCAAGGCTGGGTCGAACTGGGAGCCATGTCATTTTCTTTTTAAAAGTGCAGCTCTGTCAGGACCTAAACCCACAATCTTCTGATCCGCTGGCCAGCGTCTAGTCGTACTCCACAGCGTCTAGCCATACTCCACAGCGTCTAGCCATACTCCACAGCGTCTAGTCGTACTCCACAGCGTCTAGCCATACTCCACAGCGTCTAGTCGTACTCCACAGCGTCTAGCCATACTCCACAGCGTCTAGTCGTACTCCACAGCGTCTAGCCATACTCCACAGCGTCTAGCCGCTACTCCACAGCGTCTAGCCGCTACTCCACAGCGTCTAGCCGCTTCTCCACAGCGTCTAGCCACTACTCCACAGCGTCTAGCCTCTACTCTACAGCGTCTTGCTGCTACTCCACAGAAGATCCCCGTCATTTACTTAGGTATTTGGGTTTTTTTTTAATGCTTTTGATTTCTGAGCAGAAAGATAGGCAGTTACAAAAGTAAGCAGATGGTCAGTTGTATGAGCAGACACATAAGTTAACAGGCAGGTAAAAAGATCCATCAAGAACAGTATGTTTACTGGCATAAAAAAAGAACAAATAGATTTTTATTTTTAAAGCAGGTTGTTTTGTAGATAAAACTGTGACAAGTAAGCAGGTGCATAAGTAGGTCAATCAGGTATGCAGGTAGAAATGTTAGCAAACATTCAAGCAGACAGACAGACATGTAGGTAAGCAGGTGTGTAAGCACGTATTTAAATTTAAAGATGTTACTGGTGTTACTTTTCCTTTGGAGTAAACAAGGCAGGCTGACAGAGGGATCATGCTGCCTGAGCAACACATGGTCTCTACACGACTGTCTAGGCTTTGTTAGCGTTATGGACAAGGAACTTCATCGCTAGCCTTTGTTGGTTTCATATGTTGTGATTGCCATTCCTCTCTTCAGCACAATATAGCACTATTGTCTGGAAAGATGCAAAGGTGTCAACACCAATAACAACAATTTCAACAGGAATTCATGAGCACAGAGCATCACTTACCTGGACTTTGTAATGACTTTCTTGAGGTCCTTCTGCAGACGATGCACCTCCTCCTCCTTGCGCTTGAAGACCAGTGTGATTGCATGATGGTTCTGCTCACTCTCCAGTGTTTCTTTCTCAGCATCATTGACCTTTAAGTGAGACAACAATATATCAACCTCTACATTCAGTAGCAAACACAATAACGCTATAAGACTTTGGTAAGTCAAGTAAAGGTCCCTCTTCCGTGCCTTCAGGAGCACTAGGCATATAGGGCTAGCCCTATATTTTATAGACCAATTGGCACTCAGTGGATGATGTAGTCAACATCATGCCAGCCGCCTTTACTTCCCTGGACTTCACCTGGTACCCACTCAAGGCTGGGTCGACCTGGGAGCCAAGGTCATTTCTGAAGAAAGTCATTCAGACTCAAACCCATGATTTTCACATCAGCAGGCGAGAGTATGACTTTGGTATTAGGACGTTTAAAAAAAGGTTTAACTGTGTATCCTTTATAGTGGAACAAACTCCAGCCTCTTGTGGCTCTTTCTGATTTCACAAGGCAATTTTATGTTCGGTAGTTTGCCAATGATCCTGAACAATCGGGTTTCTTTATCATTTACAAATTCAACTCGAAGGGGTTCGCTACAAGATCACCCACAGCTGAAAACAAACCGAGTATTTTGGAATTTCAAAGCACATTCACAATGCCTAAGCCACACAAGCTGATGGTGCTAAGTAAAATTTTAGGACTGATTTTATTTCGGGCTTTCTGCAGTCAGAGAACATCCAGTGTGTGTTTTGGGCCCCATTCCGTGGGAAAAAATGGACACTGTCTCTCTAACAAGCAAGTTGTACAAGACAACTAGTTAGGGGAGTTTCCTTTGAAATCAGAGTGCATCTGCCGGAGAGGTGAGGAACCATCAGGCTGCACACAAATAAGCCAGATCTGTAAAACAGATGTGAACACAAAACCAAAGCCCAGAAAGGGATGAACAACCATAACTTTCCACTGGATTTAACAGACTGTGAAGGCTAAGAAGAGAATAATCTGAGGATGTTGTGTTTAGTCGTACTGTCAATGTTCAAGACCCCGCAGCGTAAACTATGTTACTGTGTCTAGTCCCAGGAACTCTCTTATTTACCCTTTATTCCCAATGGAACATGTAGCTTCAACAAGCTAGGCCCAGTTGTCTGGTGGCATACAACAAATGTGTTATAGTTTTGCAGGTTGGTGAATTAATGCCACACAACACACAGGTTATAGTTTTGCAGGTTGATGAATTAATGCCACACAACACACAGGTTTTAGTTTTGCAGGTTGATGAATTAATGCCACAATGTCAAGTTACAGATTGCAGGCTAGTGAATCAATGCCACACAACACACAGGTTATAGGTTTGCAGATTGATGAAATAATGCCATACAACACACAAGTTATAGATTTGCAGGCTGATGAATTAATGCCACACAACACACAGGTTACAGACTTATAGGCTGGTGAACTAGTTAATGGCACACAACACACAGGTAACAGACTTATAGGCTGGTGAACTAGTGTCTTAAAACAGCTTATAGGGTGAACTTGTAGCATACAATACACAGGTTATAGACTTTCGGGCTGGTGAACTTGTGACCATTACACAGAATATAGACTTGCAGGCTGGAGAACTACTGGCACACTACAAACAAGTTACAGAACTTGCAGGCTGGAGAACTACTGGCACACTACACACAGGTTACAGAACTTGCAGGCTGGAGAACTACTGGCACACTACACACAGGTTACAGAACTTGCAGGCTGGAGAACTGGCACACTACATACAGGTTACAGAACTTGCAGGCTGGAGAACTACTGGCACACTACATACAGGTTATAGACTTGCAGGCTAGAGAACTACTGGCACACTACATACAGGTTATAGACTTGCAGGCTGGAGAACTACTGGCACACTACATACAGGTTACAGAACTTGCAGGCTGGAGAACTACTGGCACACTACACACAGGTTATAGACTTGCAGGCTGGAGAACTACTGGCACACTACACACAGGTTACAGAACTTGCCTTAAGAGTGGCATGATTCAGCATCTCCTGCCAGGTTGGATCCAAATCTTTCTCTCGCCGTTTGTAGCCCTCTTCTGCCAGCTGGACCATTTCCCTAGCGGCCTCGTGCATCCTCCGAGATCTCTCAAACCGCAGCACTGCCTTTTGGCTTTCTAGGTGAGCCTGCAAGGGAAATACACAGAGGCTGTTTTAATGCTTTTGCAATTACTGGCTATCCTCCGAATAACGGTCCCAAATTATCGAGGCCAAAAATATACCCTAACAGGACCTCTTTTCAGTGACTACACAGCATACCGCGGAAAAGCTTCCACCGAGTTTAAGTCACTGCTGAGAGTATCTCCCGCGCCGCTACACACAGCTACACTAGATGGCTGGGACTCACGAGCAGCATTCCCGCATCTTCTGCAACTTCCTTTATTTCATTTGCTCGTGAGTCCAAGCGAACTAGTTTAGCCCCACTCCGAGCAGTGCGTATAGTCGCCGGAAAGAAGTCCGCAATTTACATGTGACTGAGGTCCTGTTAGGGTATATTTTCGTCCTTAATAATTTGGGACCGTTTTTCGGAGGATAGCCAAATTACTTATTTCTGGCTCACTTACTGAGTAAATAAACGATTTACTTATATCTTTAAATCACTGAATGACTTAATATCTTCAGCTCATTTACTGATTGATTTACAGACACAACATCTTATGGTACGAGCCTGTCCTACTACTAGACGTCTCCACCGGGTTGCAGATGGTGGAATGGTTTTAGAAAATATACTTAATGAACGGCTGTATAATAACATCGGTGGCGGTCAGTGAGAAGAGGCGAGTTGGCTGGTGGGACAGCTAGCTCTATAAAATGCTCAAAACTCTGTGACATAGACACTGGAGGTCCTTGCACTGAGGGTCTCTGTGGCTGAGCTTCAGTTTCAGATGCTTTTTCTTTAAAAACATTAATCAGCAAACATCTAATTGGGTCTGACATGGCATCCTGTTTTTCTTCGTATGGAGAAATATTGTCAAGCTGAACAAATTCATTTACAAATAGCATTTTAGCTGTAGAAATGGTCTGGACTCCTGTGCCACGCCTACTTCTTTCTTTAGATGTACCTACATCAACTCTGTCATCAAGTCTATCATCCTGTGCCATGCCTAGTTCTTTCTTTAGATGTACCTACATCAACTCTGTCATCAAGTCTATCATCCTGTGCCATGCCTACTTCTTTCTTTAGATGTACCTACATCAACTCTGTCATTATCGGTTTCAGCGCTATATTTGCTGGCAGATTCTGAATCATCAGAACTACGGGTCTGGTTTTTGTCAACAGATATGACCAAAAAAACTGAATATGTGCTAATAAAGAAAATTACAAAATTTCACTGAAAACAATACTCATATCGGCTTAAAGTGATACCTATCACAGGTGCAGCTATCTTGGAGTAATAAAAATACCCGGATGAAGCTCAAATTGAAAACTAGTGGTAAGGCCGGCTGTTTGCAGCCCACTGTCATAAACTGGACAATCGTCAAAGTCGGTAGGCATAGTGCTAAGACATTTGCTGCGGGAGATTGAGCACCTTTGGGTATGCCTGATGTGCTGTGATATCCATTCTTTCATCGGTTATATTAGGAGTTTGTGTTCTAAGGAGAGAGAGTCAGAGTAATATGGAACAAAACCAGGTGCAATGTAGTCAATCTCCTCAACTTTAAACCTGAAAGCCTGCACAACCTCTTATTTCATTTTCATTGTGTATCATGTTTTAAACCCCTCAATTTATCTTCACTGTGTCAGATTTTAAACAGCTCAATTTATCTTCATTGTATCAGGTTTTAAACAGCTCAATTTATTTTCATTGTGTCAGGTTTTAAATCCCTCAATTTATCTTCATTGTGTCAGGTTTTAAACAGCTCAATTTATCTTCATTGTATCAGGTTTTAAACAGCTCAATTTATCTTCATTGTGTCAAGTTTTCAATCCCTCAATTTATCTTCATTGTGTCAGGTTTTAAATCCCTCAATTTATCTTCATTGTGTAATGTTTTAGATGTATCTATTTATCTCAGTCGGCTCTGTGTCTAAGTCGATGCGAACGCTTCGTAATGCCAGGTTCGATCCCAGCTGCGGGCCATGCGCCTTGCGTTGGTTTCGACAGTGGTATCAAGAAAGCCGACCGTCAAGAAAGCAATGGCAAACTACTGGACGTAAATTTGCCTAGAAAAACCACACAACAGCCAGGGGCTGTTGGGGTTGTTTCTGCAACGTCTTGTAAAGGAAATGCAACTAACCTTATTTATCTTCATTGAGTCAGGTTTTAAACCTCTTAATTTATCTTCACTGTGTCAGGTTTTAAACCCCTTAATTTATCTTCACTGTGTCAGGTTTTAAACCCCTTAATTTATCTTTACTGTGCCAGGTTTTAAACCCCTCAATTTAGCTTCACTGTGTCAGGTTTTAGAAGCATCTATTTATCCTCATTGTGTCAGGTTTTAGAAGCATCTATTTATCCTCATTGTGTCAGGTTTTAGACATCTAAATTTAATTCACTGTGCTTCAGGTTTTAGACTGCTCAGCTTACCTGCAGATGCAAAGAACAAAGATAACTCCACAAATTCTAACCTCTCTGAGTCTCAATCTGGCATCGTAATAAGGACGTGCTTTTTCCACACAGCTGCCAAGTCTCCTGGAGAGAGCATTGAGACACTGAGTCGATTCGGACAGGACTTGGCGAAAGGCTGTTCTTGCATCCTGGTAAAAAGTTAAAGAACAAATATTAAACAAATATGGTGCTGGTGGGGGGAAAAAAAACCCAGTATGAAAGGCATTACAATAACAATTGGTTTATGAGATAACAAGCACAGTAAAAGTAATTAGAGTTTGATGTTTACAGTTGGTAAACAAGTAGTAGTCAATAAATCATTTCCAAGCCTTTAGGTGTACTGGGCTTATCGGGCTAGACCAATATTTTATAGACAATCGGCACTTGGTGGGGGAACGTGGTCAACATCAGCTGGCTGACTTGACTTCCCAGGACTTTACCTGGTACTCGTTTAAGACTTTGTCAACCTGGGAGACAAGGTCATTGTTGAAAAAAGATTGTTCGGCCTCCGTCAGGACTCAAATCCGTGATCTTCAGATCCACAGGTGAGTATCTAGCCACTAAACCATGGTGGCTCCAAGAGAGGTAATGGTGTAGATGTTAACTACAGGAACATATTTGTGATGTGGGGGTTGGTAGGTGGGAAGTTTAGGTAGATAGATAAATAGAATAAAGTAGAAGCAGATTTTGAAGTAACTGTGTAGAGGGTGAGTATTTAGACAGATAGGTAGGCAGATTGCAGGTGTAAGGTGGGAGACACCAGGTAAAGAGGTGGCTGGAATGTTGCCAGGTAGGAGACACCAGGTAAAGAGGTGGCTGGAATGTTACCAGGTAGGAGACAGCCAGGTAAAGAGGTAGCTGAAATGTTGCCAAGTAGGAGACAGCCAGGTAAAGAGGTAGCTGGAATGTTGCCAAGTAGGAGACACCAGGTAAAGAGGTGGCTGGAATGTTGCCAGGTAGAAGGCAGCCAGGTAAAGAGGTAGCTGGAATGTCACCAGGTAGAAGGCAGCCAGGTAAAGAGGTAGCTGGAATGTCACCAGGTAGAAGGCAGCCAGGTAAAGAGGTAGCTGGAATGTTGCCAGGTAGAAGGCAGCCAGGTAAAGAGGTAGCTGGAATGTTGCCAGGTAGGAGACACCAGGTAAAGAGGTGGCTGGAATGTTACCAGGTAGGAGACAGCCAGGTAAAGAGGTGGCTGGAATGTCACCAGGTAGGAGACAGCCAGGTAAAGAGGTAGCTGGAATGTCGCCAGGTAGGAGACAGCCAGGTAAAGAGGTAGCTGGAATGTCACCAGGTAGGAGACAGCCAGGTAAAGAGGTAGCTGGAATGTCGCCAGGTAGGAGACAGCCAGGTAAAGAGGTAGCTGGAATGTCACCAGGTAGAAGGCAGCCAGGTAAAGAGGTAGCTGGAATGTCACCAGGTAGAAGGCAGCCAGGTAAAGAGGTAGCTGGAATGTTGCCAGGTAGGAGACACCAGGTAAAGAGGTGGCTGGAATGTTGCCAGGTAGGAGACAGCCAGGTAAAGAGGTGGCTGGAATGTCACCAGGTAGGAGACAGCCAGGTAAAGAGGTAGCTGGAATGTCGCCAGGTAGGAGACAGCCAGGTAAAGAGGTAGCTGGAATGTCACCAGGTAGGAGACAGCCAGGTAAAGAGGTAGCTGGAATGTCGCCAGGTAGGAGACACCAGGTAAAGAGGTAGCTAGAATGTTGCCAGGTAGGAGACAGCCTGGTAAAGAGGTGGCTGGAATGTCACCAGGTAGGAGACAGCCAGGTAAAGAGGTACCCGGAATGTGACCAGGTAGGCAGCTAGACAGAATTGGCTCTCCCTTTCCATCCTTTTAGACAATAGTATTCCTGTGTTCAATACGCAGCTGTGGAGCATGACAACACCATTACAGGTTGGACTCTAAGAATGTATGTTCATTGTTCATTTACAGATTATCTTCATCGCACATCGGACATGACCATAAGTGCTCCGATCTCCTCCTGAGCATGTCTCCAAGTGTTTTTAGGCTAACATCTCCCAGTCTGTTCTGGTTGATGTAATGACGGTGGCTCCCGCATGGATTTCTTGTTCAGCTGCTCCAAACTGTAAACACATGGCATGGAGTTTATTCAGTGAAGAATCGTTGTCCATGAAACTGAAAGCCTCACAATGTTTACTTTCTCGTATGGCACTGATGATGTCTCTCCTGTCCACAAACTGCCCATTCTTGACAGTTGCACTGCCAGCCAGGGCAGCTGCTCTCTCATTGCCTTTCACACCAGCATTCTCTGGGACAACAATGAAGTATGAACGACAACAATGAAGTATGAATGACAACAATGAAGTATGAATGACAACAATGAAGTATGAATGACAACAATGAAGTATGAATGACAACAATGAAGAATGAATGACAACAATGAAGTATGAATGACAACAATGAAGAATGAATGACAACAATGGAGTATGAATGACAACAATGAAGAATGAATGACAACAATGAAGAATGAATGACAACAATGAAGTATGAATGACAACAATGAAGTATGAATGACAACAATGAAGAATGAATGACAACAATGAAGAATGAACGACAACAATGAAGTATGAATGACAACAATGAAGTATGAACGACAACAATGAAGTATGAATGACAACAATGAAGTATGAATGACAACAATGAAGAATGAATGACAACAATGAAGTATGAACATATGCACGTGTATATGTATTTCTCTTTTTATCTTCTTCAATAACCTCACCAAAGTTTTGGGGGAAGGTGTAATGATCTCCTATTTCTAATAGGTGGTATGTGTATATGGCATATATGTTTTATTTTATACACATAAAGTATCCAACGCTACAACATACAAACTCTCACATCAAGCTCCATCTCAAGTCTGTTGATGTCCTCACTAGCTCTGTTTAACTTTTCAAGTTCAACCTGAAAAGTCAACAGTCATAAATATATATATATATATATATATATATGTATATATATATACCTACCAAAATACCTTTTTAATTATGTGGAATACAATTTTTTTGTTTGAAGCCCCAACCTGGCGTCTACCGGGGGCCCTGAATATAGCCCGGCCATAAATGTGGTCTAATGGCTGAACGCGGTTTCCTGGACCTCACCACGAGTGATCCTCATCCACATGGTGGCACTTTGTGTCATCAGGTGTTTATCGCTTGTGTGATGTCCTAGTGGGGTAAAATGTACTATACTACTGCATACTACTACAAAACGCCTTCCCAAACACCCTTCTGTCTACCTGAGATTTATAATATCTAACATCATGACACTGAATTTTTCAAAAATATTCCAAACATCAACCAAATGATTCAGTAAGCACATGTCCTAACAACCCCTAGAGTATGAGGCCATTAGGTAATTTCCAAATTACATGTTGATGGTGTATGCAGTCACAATGACATAACTCACGCAGCATATGCCAGCCTTCACTCAAATTACACAAGTAAGGACAATTACATATGTAAGGGCATTGTACAAACAATTACATATGTAAGAACAATTACACATTTGAGGTCAGTATAGGGGATATTACACAGGTAAGAACTTTGTAAGGACAAGTACAGGTGTAAAAATAATTACACATGTAAGGACAATCATACAGATAAAGACAATGTAAGGACAATTACACATGTAAAGACAATGAAAACACATTTGAGGGCAATGTAAGGAACAATTACATATGCACAGAATTAACAAAAAGAAGGAAATATGAAAGGACAAGTATACACACATGTAAGAACTTTGTAAGGACAAGAACACATGTAAGAACTTTGTAAGGACAAGTACAGGTGTAAAAATAATTACACATGTAAGGACAATCATACATATAAAGACAATGTAAGGACAATTACACATGTAAAGACAATGAAAACACATTTGAGGGCAATGTAAGGACAATTACACATGTAAGGACGATTTTTAAAAGGACACATGTATGCACATATGCAAGAACCATTACACATGTAAGGGCAATAATGGTGTATACAGGCACAATAAAAAAAAAAATTTTAAAAACACATGTAGTAAAAGGTAACTTTCATTCCTACATATGTAACTCAACCGTCATTGAGTTTTTGTAAATTTTTACAGGGTCAGTTTCAGCTGCATTTTAACTTTGTAGATACCATGAAAAATATTCCCATTGGTTTATAACTAATTTAACTGTCCTTTGGTACAAAAAAGAGTTTAAACTTCTGTTTAAAAAAACATCACTATACACACCTGAATCCTTGGATCCAACTCATCATCCCCTTCTTCTTCGCTGCCAGATGGCATTCGATGCAGACGGAGATGATGTCGGTGAGCGTGAGATAAATTATGCTGGTTTATCAATGGTAGATCAGCTTTGATGAAGGTGTCAGGATTAGATATGTGTTGATTCATTGCTGTTTCACCTGAAAGACATAGGAACGAGTCATGGAAATCCGTATGACACCCATTGTTATATAATTTAAAATTTCCCCGTGTGGGTTTCCGGGGCCCTATTATAGGGAAAACAAGAATAGACCCACTGCCTACCCAAAAGCATGTCGTAGGAGCCGACTAATTGGGAGCTTCCTTTGAAGTTGGAATGCATCTGCCTGAGAGGCAGGGAACCAGCAATCTGCATACAAATGAGTCAGACCTGTGAAATGGATGCACACGCAACACTCAGTTTCTGGAACAGGACTGCAGTCCACAAGTGGATGAACAACCAGAACTTTTCCACCAGAGTTTACAGCTGGTGAACATGAAGAAGAAGAAGAATTAAAAATATTTGCTTTCTTCTTCACGGCTGTAAACTTAGATGAAAAGTTCTGGTTGTTTGTCCACCTCTAGACTTTTTTTCTAGAACTGTAGTGGTAGGTTCACATCTACTTCACATATCTGCCTATTTTTTTTGCAGACTGTTGATTTCTTGCCTGACCGGCAGATTCACTGCAGACTGAAATGATACCCCCACTTAGTTGACTCCTAGGACATGCTTGTTGGGGAGGCAGTGGGCCTATTCTTTTCTTCCCAACAATGAGGCCCCAGAACTAACATGGGGACAATATCATATAATGTGCATGACAAGAACTTCATCTATGACCAGTTTTGTAATGGATCTAGGAGCCTTGCCTTCCATCTCTGTTCTTTCCTCTGTAAAGTTCACAATGGCCAAACTACTTCTGTGTCTGTGACACGTTGTGACATGCTGTTTTCCAGCCAGTATTTTTCCATATTAGAAACGGAGCCTTCTTCAGGAGGGGATTCTCTTAGTTTATACACAAAAATTTTTTTAAAAAAGCATTCCCCCGTGTGGGTTCCAGGGCCATATTATAGGGAAAACAAGAATAGACCCACTGCCTGCCCAAAAGCATGTCGTAAGAGTCGACTAATTGGGAGCCTCTTTGGAAGTCGGAGTGCATCTGCCTGAGAGGCAGGGAACCAACAGTCTACACTCAAATGTGTCTGATCTGTCAAACGGATGCACACGCAACACTCAGGTTCTGGAACAGGACTGCAGTCCAGAAGTGGACGAACAACCATAACTTTTCACCAGAGTTTACAGCTGGTGAACGCAAAGAAGAAGAAGAAGAAGAAAAAAAAGCATTCAATTAACATATACAAAACTATACATATTTGTTTAGGAAACTGAATGAGCAAACAGAATATTTATGAATTAAACTGAAATCTCAATATTTATTCAAGTTAACTATTCAGATTCGCATAATTTATGCAAGCAATTTTTTTTCCAACTTGGGAACAAACACAACTAATCTTAACAATTTGGGTGCATTTTTTTTTATGGATGAAGCTTGAATAAGTCCTAACACCTTGTTTTTTAGGAAGTAAGGCCCTTGGAGGCCCTTCAGACATGTCTGGCACATGGTTCTACTTATTTTCCTTCCTCTAGCTGTTTCGGTTGCTATGACGTAACTGTCCTTCTCGCCAATTTTGGGAACAGTTAACCCCAGAAAAAAAAATAAATAAAATTACAGAACACATCAAACTTTCTCGAAAGCCATCAATCAACAGCCCACATGTGCAAGAAATGCGAGAAGCAGTCTGACTGGTTGGTACGAAAATCTGCCAGCCAATATCAGGACTTCTATTATATAGGGCCGATTGATCGGCCCAGTCGTCCTTTTGGCAACTTTGTGTTGGGCTGATTTTTCAGCCGCATCGTCTCCAAAGGGTTAAGATCTTGTCATCATCTCAGTCTCAGAATGGAGATGCAAAGAGCGGGGATGGAAAAGACACAGCAACAAGGACACTCAAACTCTGTTTAAATCACCACTGACCAATGGCATCATGCCAGTTAATGGACAAAAGGCTGGACTATCTTCAGAATAATGGCCACATTTTATGGCAGCCAAAAACACACCCTGACAGGGCCTCAGTCACATGTAAATTGCGGACTTCCGGCCACTTATATTGCGGACTTTCAGCGATTATACTGCCACCGCCAAGAGTTTCTCACCCACTGCTGCGTGCAGAGCGGAACTAAACTAGATGGCTGGAACTCATAAGCAAAGCTGCAGGAGATGCGAAAACTGCTGCTCGTGAGTCACAGCCATCGAGTTTAGCTCTGCGCCGTGCGTAGCGGCGTGGGAGATACTCTCAGGGGTGGCGGTATTGTCGCCGGAAGTCTGCAATTTAAGTGGCCGCAATTTACATGTGACTGAGGCCCTGTCAGGGTGTGTTTTTGGCTGTCATAAAATGTGGCCATTATTCGGAGGATAGCCAAAGGCTGGAACATACAGAAAGAACGTCAGCTGACACGGTGGCAAAAACTGCGTACATAAGAGAGTTGAAAAGAAGAAGACCAAGAAAAAATTGGAGAGATAACTCACAGACAGACCTAAAAACACTTGGAGTTACCAAGTGGAATGAGAAGGCAAGCAGAGAGATGAAATAAATGGAGGTGTGTAAGATAATCAATATAGATATTAAAGAGTACGATAATCACTAAATAATAATTTTACTAATAAAACATAAAATATAGAAGTATTGGCTCTCCTCCGAACTTCTACCCGATATTATGGCGGCCAAGCAAATAGCCTAACAGTGCCTCAGTCGTGTGTAAAATGCGAACTTTCTGCCTAAGAACTAATCGTGGCAAAACTAGGATCAGCTCTGAATAACGAAACGGTCTCAGCAATATGTTAAATGCAGACCTGTTTCTACGACTATGCCGCACCGCCGACAGTATCTCCCGCGCCGCTACGTGTGGCGCGGATGGGGGCTAAACTAGATACCATCTAGGACTCATGAGCAGCAACTACCGCATCTCCTGCAACTTCCTCTAATTTATTTGCTCGTGAGTCCCAGGCATCTAGTTTAGATCTCCATCGCCGCTACGCGCGGCTCGGGGAATACAGTCGGCAGTGAGTTTAACCATGTTTTGCGCATGCCGAAAAGTGTGAGGACAACAACGACACTAATCTGCGTCGGAGCGTGTGGTCTCCCCACCATGTAGCTATTATCATCTGTAATGTTGCGTGTCTCGAAATTGTCAATGGCAGCTATTATAGTCTGCTAGTATCGTCTGCAGAAACGCTTGAAACTGTCAACGGTCGCTATTATCGTCTGGTACTATCGTCTGCAGTGTTGAGTCTCTTGAAATTATCAAGTAATCCTAATTTTATCGCGATTTGTTCCTTGGCAGAAAGTCCGCATTTTACACACGACTGAGGCTCTGTTAGGCTATTTGCTTGGCAGCCATAATATCGGGTAGAAGTTCGGAGGAGAGCTGAAGTATAGTATTATAATACTATTTTACAAAGAAATAATTTCAACAACAAAAATATGATAATAAAAACGTAAAATCGATCAGACTGAACTTACTTTCAGTACTGTAGTACTGAGTACCGTTCCGTACAGTAATTCATTGTGGTTTTAGTTTTTGTTTTGTTTACAATATAGTCTTGATGCTGGGTTTTTTTGTTTTTTTTCAAATCGTAAGTTAAAGGTACATGATAATCATAACACAGCTATGAGGATACTGAAATAAAACATCTGGCAGAATTCGCCATCACGGTTTGATCCAGAAGAATAATTCTAGCCGTCAACACCTTAATTGTTTATGGGTTCTGCCAAACTCTGTTATCTGGTCTTGTAAAATCTTGTTATCACAACCAGTGTTGGCACTTTTCTTTGATAATAAAACATCCAAACCAGAATTTAAAAAATATCTAAAAACATTAAAATTTGCGTAGAAAACATCTAGAAAAAACATCTAGTTAGAAAGAGTCACAAATTACATAGCAATTGAAATGACTTACCCTATAGAATTATGTCCTCATCTTGATTGAAGTCTGCCTCACAAGATACATAGGATAAACTTTGCTTGGATGGTGAAGTTGAAGCCTTAGATCCAAAATGACTCTGGTATGCTTTAGCTGTTCCAATTTCTTTTAATACCCAATCAGGAAGCTGGTAATTGGAACAGCCTTTTCCTACTCTAATCAGGCACAATTTTATTGTCAGGATAGCGTTTATGAGGTTAAATTTCATCCTGTTTCTTTGGTTAGATTTAATAAATTCACTCCAAATGAAAAACTTCTAGAAAGCCATCTACCATCTAAACGTCAAAACGCCATCTAAATGCAAGAAAAAAATCTAAATCTGGATGTAAAACATCCAAAGTGGCAACACTGATCACAACTTTCCTGGAGACCCCTGTGTCAAATTCCAGTATCTTTACTTTGTGCTGTTTCGCAATTTTGATTACATTTCTCAATGAATAACCTAAAAAAAACGTCTATACTAAATCAAAATTTAAAATGAATAAATTTAATAATTAACTTTTATATATAAAAACACTTAAAGTAAAAGACTACATACCTGGGCAATATTATTTTAAAAAATTAAGATATCCGTAAATATTGTTTCGTTAATTCTTTTAGTGCACTGATATCAGAGTGTCACGATATGGAAAATGTTTGGTTGGTTTTAATGACGTCAGGGACAGGTCGTCTTGACGCCTGGGTTTATCGCACACATCCTGTTCTTTGTTTCTGTTCACTTTTTTGTTTAATTCACTCTTTCTTTCTTGTGTGTCGTCACATCTTTACCGGGTTTGTATCAGATTGTGGCGGTTTTCTGTATTTGTCTGTGTGGCTCATGGGTTTATATATTTTTTCCGTTTAAACTGTATAGTTTCTTGTGTACATCAGACTGTAGTTGCTAGTTATCTTCTGTCGTATTATATGTGGTTTATACTCTACACTGGCGTCTGTGGCGGTGCGAAACCACTTCGTAATTCTGAGACATCCAGTTCGATTCCGGGTGCGAGCGATTTAGGAGTAGGTCGCCTAGAATTGGTTTCGACAAGATTATCTAGCGCGGACCGTTTAGATGGCAATGGCAAACTACGGAATGTACAATCGCCTAGTAAAACAAAAACAGTAAGTAAC